GGGGGGGGGAAGGGGCGTGCATGCGCACGTGTGGTCCCTCTACCCTCAGTTCCTTCTCTACCTGAAAACCCATTCTGTATATGATTTCCAAAGCAGAGGGGAGGATAAGAGGGGAGCGGCCACACACAAAGAATTCTCCTCCCACCCACCTCCTTTGCAGAGCCACACCGCAATATTCACTTCCCTGCTGGAAGGTAAGTGGTACGGTGGGTTCCTGCTCTGGTGGCAGCCACGTGGCTTCCCTGGTGTGCTTCTGTATATGATTTCCAAAGCAGAGGGGAGGATAAGAGGGGAGCGGCCACACACAAAGAATTCTCCTCCCACCCACCTCCTTTGCAGAGCCACACCGCAATATTCACTTCCCTGCTGGAAGGTAAGTGGTACGGTGGGTTCCTGCTCTGGTGGCAGCCACGTGGCTTCCCTGGTGTGCTGCTGCTTCCTGGGGAAGCCACAGGGATTAACTGTGCCTGGGTGGCTGGCAAGGGGCTTCCTGGCAGAGGCTGCAGGAAAAGCCAGTGCTGCTCCCACCATCAGGAAACTAGCCCCTGTGCATCCCCAGTGTCCCCCAGAATTCCCCTGCAGGGCACTGCACCCTTGTGCTGGGCCAGTGAGGCGAAGAGCAGAGCCCGGACAAGTGTGTGCTCCGCAGCTGGCTGAGATGGAGCCAGGCAGAGAGCAGGCGAGCCCATGACAACCCAGCCAAGCGGGACCCACTGAGCAGAGAGGTGGCAGGCACAGCAAAGCAAAGGTTCTCGCCAAAGAACAAAGCAGTGGTTGTTTAGCTTGTCCCCAGGGCTCTTCCTTATCTCCACTAGCCCAGATCTCTGCTGTGTGAACAGCAGCCATATACAGCAGGTGACTCCATTTCCAAGACCAAAAGAGGGGCATGGCCCAGGGAGTGGAATTTTTCTCAAGTTAACTTGTGCTCTGCTTCCTCTGAACCGAGGTGCAATGTGAACGGGTACTTCTGTGTGAAACAGTCATTTTGCTTCTTGTGCTTCGAAACTAGATCTGAGAAGGCAGAAGCTTGGAAACGTGGCTAGTTAGATATTCAAAGCTCGGTGTTTTGTGGCTTAGAAGAAGCAAAGAGAGTATCAGTAGGAGATCTGGTGGGATGCTGTGCTAGCCGGGACCTGATTTCTTATTATTTATCAGTGACTCAGGCGGGCTAATATTTTGTGAGGTGTTTTCAGCTCCTATGCTAGGCTGGGAGAAGATTTCTGGATACCTGCACTTAACGTCAGCTTTTAATAGGAAAATCTAGTAATATTTGAAAATGTTGGCCTGATCATGATTAATTCCCTTTGGTATATATTGTATTAAGGGAAATCATCAGAAGCCCATTTAGTATTAATGTACATGTCATAAGCACTTTCAGCCTTCATTGACTAGACTGGTATTTTATAGTCTTATCAGGAACTTTTAAATCAAATCATTGAAGGAGAATTTCTCACCATCCAGGTTTTCAGGACCTTTCCACCTACTTTACCCATTAGATCTCTCACAGGCACTACTGAAATTAATCCTCCCATTAGCTCGCCAGTCTTCTAAAACAACTGTGCTTGCCATTTTTTGAAAGGGATTCATTTGTTAAGCAAGGACTTATTGGGGAAGCCTCACCATGGGTTCTGGAGTTAGGAAAGAGATCCCTGTGCATGGATTCTCAGGTTTTGTCCACCATACTATTGCACCTTTCACTGTTACAAGGATGGAAAGAGTCTTGGTCAACAAGTAGATGTTTGGTTTGTATACTAGTCTGAGCCATTCCCAGAGGCAATGCATGAAAAGGCGTGCGTTTGGTATTATGGGATTGCATGGTGCCATGTGTTCCAACAGCTGTAGGCAATTGTGGGCTATGACTTGCGGCATGACATGTAGCTTGATGACGTAACTAGGTGCCTGGTTCTTTCGAACCTGTCAGTTGGCAAGGAGGCTATGGCTGATTTGCATTTAGTTGTGCTCCTATGAACTGTATGGACTGTGATGGTATGAGCACTGATTTTGTCTTGTTTATTAGCAGGTCCAGAGAGTGGAAGCATGTATGACCAGGGAAGTACTGCAATGGGAGTCTATATCGGATTTTGCCTTGATCAAGCAATCATCCAGGTAAGGAAAGATGTCTTGCTTCCTTAGGTAAGTAGTGACTACCACCAGCATTCTGGAAAAGACTTTCGGTGTCATGGAGAGTCCAAACAGCAGGACCATATACTGGTAAGTGTCCGGGACCTAGGATGAAGTGGAGAAAGCATTTGTGAGCAGGATGATTTGTTATGTGAAAATAAGCATCTTGTAAGTCGAGAGATGAAAACCAATCTCCTTGCTCCAGTTCCGGAATGGGAATGGCTAGGGTTACCATTTTGAATCTTTGCCTTTTTATGTATTTGTTGAGGGCTCTGAGATGTAGAATCTTTTTCTGTGTGAGAACATAATGTGAATAAAACCCTCTTCCCCTGTATTTGTGAGGGACGGTGCCAGCTGAAGGAGGTGTTTGACTTCCTGATTCAGCATAGGATCATGAGAGTGGTCCCTGAAGAAGGACAGGGTGGGTGGTTGGGAAGGAGGTAAAGGAGATGGTATATCCTGATCAGTTTGTTTGGAGAACCCGTTTGTCAGCTGTTATAAAATGCCATTCAGCATATAAAGGCAGGAGACTATTATTGAGTGGTTTATAACTGGGTGATGGCGCTGGAGTGGATGCAAGTGTTTCCAGTCAATCAAATTTGCTTATTTTGCTGAGCTGGTTGGTTCGTAGAGTTGTTTTGCATGCATCTACGTTGCTGTCTATTTTGACCACGTTATTAGTGGTGCTGGTCTTGCCTTTGATGCTGGTAAGTATATTGTGGGTACCTTGCCCTGGGATACAGCTGGTATCTGTACTGTCTTCTCCTGGTTGCAAGTGCATGTATTCCTAAAGAGCAAAGCATGTCTCGGGAGTCTTTCATAGAATGAAGGACCTCATTGATCTTCCAGAGTCAGCTGGATCTTGTGGGGAAAGGCTGTGGAGTTGAACAACAAGGCTCATCTCATGACAACTGCAGTGGCTGTGGATCTTGTAGCCGTGTCCGCAGCATCAAGAGCTGCCTGCAGGGTGTTCTGAATATTGCGTGGCCTTCCTCGATGACCACCTTAAAAACTGCAGTTTTTTACCCTTCATATATCATCAATAAAGGTGTTAAACTTGAAATAGTTGTTGAAAATCATATTTACTGAGTAAAGCTGCACAGTTCACTATTCCAAATTGT